ATAAATTCTTTATCATAGCCATTTCATGACTTAAAAGAAAATTCTTCAGCAAATTTCATGGCTTATTATAAAATGTTGAATTGAAAGGATGTGCAATTAATCATCCGATCATATCTTTTTTATACTCAAGGCTATTTCTGAAGTTGTGCAAACGTACATACGCTTGTGTGTGTGTGTGTGTGTGTGTGTGTGTGTGTGTGTGTGGTGTGTGTGTGTGTGGTGTGTGTGTGTGTGTGTGTTTGTGTGTGTGTGTGTGTGTGTTAGATATGCGTGTGCATGTCTTTGTTTGTGTAAAGCGTGTGTATGTGTGTGTGTGTATGTGTGTTGTGTGTGTATGTATGTGTGTGTGTGTATGTGTGTGTGGTGTGTGTATGTGCGCGTGTGTGTGTGTGATGTGCGCGCGTGTGTGTGAGTGTGCAAGTGGTGCAAGTGTGCAAGTGTGTGTGTGTGTGTGTGTGTGGGTGTGTGTGTGTGTGTGTGTGTGTGAAGTTACATGTGTGGTGTGTGTGTGGTGTGCGTGGTGGTGCGTATGTATATGCGCGTGTGTGTGTGAAGTGTGCAAGTGTGTGTGTATGCATGTGTTAGATATGCGTGTGCATGTCTTTGTTTGTTTGTTTGTGTGTGTGTGTGTATATGTACGTGTGTGTGTATATGTACGTGTGTGTGTATATGTACGTGTGTGTGTATCGTGTGTGTGTATATGTATGTGTGTGTGTATATGTATGTGTGTGTGTATATGTATGTGTGTGTGTGTTGTGTATTGCGTTCGTGTGTCTGTGCTTGTTTGAATACGTATGGACATATACATAAAAGACACATTCAAATTCCATATATTTTTCTAGCTAATAGTTTCTTCATGAAAAATAATCAATATATTTCTATCCAGTCTGATATCCATTGATTTGTTATTATCATCTTTATAATCTGTAAGTAAGATATGTACTTTATATATATATATTTCAATAAGAAAAAACGTTATCAAAATATTTAGACATCAAGACATGCAGGATTAAATGTATTTATAGTGATTTTGTGAGAGAAAAAAAACAGTATTTCGTAAGCTATCAAAATGTACAAAAAATATAATTTAGTTTTATACAAGAAAAAATACGAAATATAACAAGTTTAAAAAGAGGAAAATCCAAAGCACAGAAAACGGACCGAGGTATATAAAAAAAAAATATGAATCATCTTCCTTTTATCGTCAAAGTACCACAACAAGCTATCAAGGTGTGATAAACTATGAATATGTGATAAACCGTAAAAAAAGAGATATATCATTTAAAAAAATAACTGAATAGATATATTAAAAAAGAGAGAAAGAGAGAGAGGGAGAGAGAGGGAGAGAGAGAGAGAATCTCCCATCAGCTGAAAGAGAGAGAGAGAGAGTGGACTCACCTGCGTGCATGCGCTTTTGGTGCGAGCGGAGGTGTTGTGGCTGACAGAATTTCTTCCCACAGTAATCACACAGCGGGAAGACGCGGGCAGGGTTACGGCCGCAGGAGTAAGTGACGTGCATGTCCAACGAGTGTAGGCGCAGGAAAAACTGCTTGTGGCCAATTCACACGCGCAGGCACACGCACACGCACGCACGCACGCATCGGGAGGCACACGCACACGCACGCACGCATCGGGAGACACACGCACGCAAAGATCGAGACGCACAGGATCACAGGCAGGTCCAGTACACACACACGCACGCACGCACACGCGTTTGCATTCACACGTTCACGCGAGAAAGAGAGGAGAGAAAAAAAAGGGAGCGTGGTCAAGTTAAGAGCATTTGTCTGAGGGTTAAGCTTTGGTGATTTCAGAATGCTTCTCAAAGTTTTTCTTTTTCCAAGATTGAAATAACGATCTTGTGATTATGTTTTTTGTACCTTTTCTTTACGTGATTTAATCGGAAGTTTCTGATATCACCAACGCTTGTTAGCTCAGACGCTCCCGCTAGACTGGCGCTTCGTATCCGGTCCTCATCCCAGGACAAGTGGAAACGTCTTAAGTAAACAGGAAGAGCAAATCCAAATGACCTCGTTCGTCTTGGTAGTTTTCTTATCATTACTCAGCCTCGTTTCTTGAGAGAGCTTATGTTCTCTTTAATATTTACTTTAAAGAAAAATGGTAGTTTATTGATCTTACGACGTCCACCTGCCCTAAAAAGGGGCCCTTACCGTAGGTCTTTCTGCTGGGACTCTTGACGCTGTGTTTAACCATGATCACCCCCTTCAGGAGAGGCTTTTCGGCAAACACCCTTTGGCTCTTTGTTTGTGTCATTTTTCTTCTGGAAACCTTGGACAGCGTTACCTGCGAGACGCATCTCTGCCCCACGTCCAAGGAGGAAGAAGGAGGAGAGGAAAGAAAAGGAGGAGACCTTCCCTTCCCCAGCCTGTGCCTACAAGCCTGCCCTTCTTCCCTCTTTGCCCCCTTCTATCCCCTCTGTTTCTCCTTCCCTTTCCCCCCCTTTCCCCGAAGTAAGTGACAAGAACCCGGGCCCGACCCTGACACTCACCACTGTGCATTCGCTTGATGTGCACCTTCAGTTTCTGAGGCTGACAGAACTTTCGTCCGCAAAAATCGCAGAGCGGCCTTGTACGCTGCGGGTTGGCGGCACAGCCGTAGGTGCGGTGCATGTCCAGGTAGTTGAGACGAAGGAAGAACTGCAACGCCACACAAGCACCCTTTCTACAGCCGCCCTTGTGACCAGGGGAGCCAAGCGTGTCCGGCTTATGAGGCTCGGCTGCTCGTGCCAGAGCGATAACACGCTGCCTCCCAGCTGCTGCACGCTGCACCTCGAGAGCTGTGCTGTCTGGCTGCACATACACACACCGCCGACACTGCTGCGCATCCTCACTCTCAACCCACAGGGGGAGTCGCATTGCATTTTGTTTTCTTTACAGTTGCATCTTAAATGATTACCATTTTCATGTTTTTTGAAGAGGGGAGGGAGGGGAGGTGTCTCTGAGACATAACGTTGCGAAAAAATCGTCATGGAAATAATTCGAGAGAAAAAAAAGCGAATATTGTGGATGGTGGTGGCACAATGAAATTATACAAAGTTTATACACCTAAGCAAGCAGCTCAACTCTCTGGAGAGCTTTGTCGAGCTTTTGTTTTTTGAGAGGAGTGTGGAGTGTAGCGCAGCCAACAGCACAGCTCCTTAGTGCCTTGCGGTCTCCACTCAAGCTACGACACAATCTTAGTGTGTGTCTGGCACTAAACTAGCTGAATTACGTACTCTATTTAGCTTTGGTTATTATCTCTTTCTCTTTTACTTGACCTTTACTTTGTTATTCTTTAAGAACACATGACTCGCATACCAGCTGATATTGACTAAAACTGAACTATCTGACTCCTTGACTTGACTTGAAATAATCATGAGAGCTAAAAAAAAAACTTATGTCAAAGCATTACTCGGAACCAATAATAAGTGTGTTATGCAAAATACATTTGGAAATAAAGGTTTAATACTGAAAACCCGTACTTCAGAGCAATTAAGAAAGAACACCGAGCAAAAAGATAGAAAAAAAAACAGATAAAATGCACGGGCCAATTAATAATGATACTTAGCATCAAAATGCAGATAGATAGGATAATCAAAGAAGTTGAGTAATGATATAAAAGGACAAAAAAACTGATACACAAAATGTACCAGAAATATCAAATATATATATATATGTATATAAACTTTGTATAAGAAAAGTTCATATTGGGTGCAAAGAATGAACGTATGATTGTGCGAAATGGAAAAAAGTCAAAAATATTATGGAAAGGTGCATAACTTGGATTTTAACGTGCAAAAAAGATGAAACAAGGTATTGAGAATTAACAGGGGACTGTACTTAATGTCTTTTTTTTTTTTTAACCGCACGTTTAAATTATATATATATATGTGAGAAATTTCTCTCTCTCTCTCTCTCTCTCTTCATTTTAGTTATCATCCTTTTCTTCATCTCCTCTGTCAAAATATCTAATTTCTAACAGGCCTAAATCTATGCGACGCCTTTCATCTAATTGTATATACAGCATCATTTATTCCTCTCTCTCTCTCTCTCTCTCTTTCTCTCACTCATCTGACGCTAAAACATCGCCCTTAGAATCTAATAAAATCTATCTACACCTAAAAGTTCTTCTCCGAGAAGCCATAAGACAGTGCTAAACTCTGGCATAATTTTTCTAACCTTAAGGTCTAAGTTTTACCGTTGCAAATTATGTCTAATTCCCTTCTAGCAGCCGTTCTAAGCCTCTAGAAACTTTCAGCGGAAGACAAGGAATGACAGTGGATCTTGGCAGTGTCTAGCAGGGGTAATTTTTTAAAGTATTTTTAAAAAGCTTTCTTTAGCCTTTTTTTTTTTTTTTTTTTTTTTTTTTTTGTCCTGCCATGGGGTATAAAACGCCTGACAAGATTTTTTTTTTTTTTTTGAAAATGAAAACCATGTGCCTCTTCTGTTTTTTTTTTTTTTTTTATATATTCTTTTTTTCTAGTGACGTTATGGGACCCAAAGATGGAAGGATATTACTGTGGGCTTTTGATACTCGAAATTCGTTAATAGAAGTTACATATTCATCAGACGAAAGATTAATCTATGTATCAAATTTATCTAACCAATCATATTATTCATATCAACTCTTATCTTAAAAGAAAGCCCACAGTAATCCACAGCAAGCCATCTTTATCTCTAACGAAGAGACCACAGTGCATGGGATATACCATACAATCTCACTGTCTTATTTCATTAATTCACTATTATCATAATTATCATTTTATTTTTTAAGGTATATATATGTATATATTGTAACAGTTTGAGCTTTTTTTTTTTTTTTTTTTTTTTTTTAGATATATATATGTATATATTGTAACAGTTTGAGCTTCCCGATTGTCCAGGTTCCAGGTCGTTTTCGTGACCAGCTTCTGACGTCAAGGGCCCCAAATATGACCTTAGTCTAGCGCAGCGTCTAAGCTAAAGCAACGACATCGAAAACATTCATTCTAACTCTGAACTCAAGGAGAGCACATGTCGCTGGGGCACAGCCGGATGCTACAGTCACTAAACCAGTCTCTATATCCAGTCCACGGTCCACATACCAGGTCCTACAGTTACAACCAGTTATACGGTCAAGACTAAAATGTGTCGCAGGGTTTCTTTTTATACTATTTTTTTTTAATGGCTTTTTAGATAATGCTCTTGATTTTTTTTTTTTAAATGTCGCAAACAGTTTGGTCCAGAACTTCAAGTGAACTATTTCCTAATGTGGGTATTGTGTGTCTATATGATTTACGAGCTAACAATTTTGTTAATAGCACTATGTTGATTACGTAATCAAACATTCTAATACTTGAATTGAACCCATGTAATTATGTATAAAGCCCATTTAATATCTAAAATCTAACTAATTGCAAATTCCTCTGACTACAAAATCAATATCCTCTCTTGTTGGAAATAAAAAATTGTTCTTTTGGAAATAAACTTAATAACTTTCCATAATAATTTACGAAAATATCTAAACTATATTCACTGACCTTTCTCATGGGTCCGCATTTTACCATAAGTTTGAAATACATTTGTTGGCTTTTTAGATACAATTGAATCTTTGGCGTAAAAGGTAATATGTAAGTATTGATATTCTGGCAACTATTTCCCGCATTTTTTTTGTCTGTCCTAAAATAGGCCTATATACACCCTTTTCAGTCTCTAATGTTAACTCGTCCTTTAATATAGCTATGTGTATCATCTTGGAATATGTGTATATCCACAATTCTTCAAGAAAACGTGTATACTATCATTAAATCCATTTTACACCTATTGGAATATGAGAAATCCAAGAAGCTTTATTTCTACCTCACTATCACCTAACCTGTGATTACTAACTAAAGTAAAAGTAAATAAAACGAATAAAAAAACTAAGCCAATGCCTGGAATACGTCTCTGAAGTTGTGTAACGTGAGACTCGTATTGTATCTCGGTTTCAAAAAAAACTTCTATGCAAACTACGATAGCTAATTGCTACTGTAGGCCTGTAAAACCCAGGGCAGTATGTGCCTTTCGGTTCAAGTGGTAGTGCTAAGCTCTATTTTATAGCCAATAGGAGTCTGCTATCGTCCCTATTGTCACCTATGTCTCGTCCTGTATCGGTTGAGAATTGTCTTTTACATATGTTCTCTGAATCCTAATAGAGAATTAAAAACAATATAGGTATATGAGATGTTTTTTTCGTTTTTACATTTGTTCTTCTAATTCTAAAAAACAAGTAGATTTTAGATTAATAGAGACTAAAACATTGAAGTTTTCGACATCAGAGAACCATCAAATATCCATAGAAAGCCTTGTGCTATCTTTGATCTTCGCATCAGAGAAATATTAACAACTAACTCAAAGGAAGATTTTTCTTTTAGTCACTGATTGATCATACTTTTAAGTTTGCACTACTTTGAAAATTACCAATAATTCATTCGCCTTTTATTGACTGATATGACGTAAAAAAAAAGTTAAAAGGGAACTATTGACCTGTTATCAAGCCTTTTCGTAATACTA